GGCAGCCTGGGGCCTTCGGTGGAGCTCCCTATGGGGCCACGAAACGTGTGAGGGGTGTGCCGAAATGGGTGTGCGGGACGCATGCGGACGGCAGCACTGGGGCCTTCGGTGGAGCTCCCTATGGGGCCACGAAACGTGTGAGGGGTGTGTGGAGGGAGAGGAGGAGGAGAGGAGGAGGAGGAGAGGAGGTGGGACGCGGGGCGCTGTCTCTTCAAAACGAGGACCCAACACCACAGGATGGTTGGGAAAAAGAGAGGAAGGGGGGAGGGGGACTGGGCTAGCAATGCCCGGGCTCTGGATCCATCCGCCAGGCACGGCAAGCGAGATCGGACCATGAACGATGGCCCGGATGCAGTTTCGAGCAGGAGGCCAGGATATCTTCCGCCCGAGAAAAAGGGAGGGGGGCCGACGCTGGGAACGTGCATGGAGGCCTCCCTGGGTGGGGTCCGTATAGATGGGGTCGGAGGATAGCGCCGCATGGCCAGAGGATCGCCGATGGATCGGCGACGTCGGCGTGGAGAAAATCAGGCTCCACATCGAACCGCATGGCCAATGCATCGACGATGCGGCGCGACCCTCCGACCCCATCTGCTTCGACCCCCACTTGGGCGGCCTGGATTGCACACGGCCACCGCCAGTGGGGGCGGTGGGGCGGGGGGCGAATACCGCAGGGCCCCCACCCGGGCAATGAACATGAGCATCCTTTGTGGCCGAGCATTGGGGAAACCAAAAGACACCGATAACGATACTCTTCGAACCTCTCCCAGGGTGCTTTCTGGCCAGAAGCATCGAGTCGAATCCAGCCGTGGCGACGAGGACCTCCCAGGACGCTCAGGGAGGCGAAAACGAGGCAGGGGTAGCGGTGTCGGTACCTCGTCCTCCTCTGAACCACTACCCCCCGACGAGGCCCGGGCAACCTCTGCCGACGTCGCCATCCCGCCAAGCAGGCGCTGGAGCACCCCTCGGCACGCAGGCGCGGGGGCCCGAGCGTTACCCACGCCCGCCGCCTCCCCGAGGCGGCGGCCCCCTCCCCCTGGCAGCGGCCGCGGAGAAATCCCGGTCTCGGCGGGAGAAGGGACCCGGGCGAGGACTTCGCCGCGCAGGCTGCTTGTCGCCACCGTCGTCGTCGTCGCCGCCGCCACCGTCGTCGTCGTCGCCGCCGCCCCCGCCGCCGCCGTCGTCGTCGTCGTCGTCGTCGTCGTCGTCGTCGTCGTCGTCGTCGTCGTCGTCGTCGTCGTCGTCGTCGTCGCACCGCCTCGGCCTCGGCCTCCGGCGGGGGCGGCGGCGGGGCCCCCGCCGAGGAGGCCCGCAGCAGCGCCTGCAGCGTGTTGAGGCGGAAGTCCAGCTTCCGGGTGCCGCGGTCGATGGGCCATCCCCGAGGGGCCCAGGGGTCTCGGCTCGGCGCCCCCCCTCGGGATCGAAGGGCGGGGAAATGGGGGCGAGGAGGAGGAGGAGGAGGAGGAGGAGGAGGAGGAGGAGGAGGGTGAGACGGTGAGGGGAGCGGGAAAGGTAATAGGAGGGGTGAGGAAGAAGGATGGGGGGAGGAAGAAGGAGGAGCGAAAAGGGGTTGGGAGAAAGAGGGGGGGGAGGAAGGAGGGGAAGGCGGGAGGAGGAGGTGGGAGGAGGAGGTGGGAGGAGGAGAAGACGGAGGAGCAGGAGGAGGAAGAGGAGGAGGAGGAAGAGGAGGAAAAACAGGGAAGAGGTGGGGGGAGGAGTAATTGGCGGGGGGACAGACAACCTCCTCGTCCGCGTCCACCCGGCCGCACCCTCGTGAACCTTCAGCCCCCCTCACTTCTCACCATGGGCATCATCGTACTTTCTCTCTCTCTCTCTCTCTGTCTCCTTTCCTTTTCCTTGCACATGACAATCTCCTGTCGCACCCCGACGCTGGTCGAAAGGGCGGGCAGTGCGTTTCGCCTGAGACTTCCCCATCAGTTACGACCCTGAGGTTTGGAACCTGACAACAGCTGCACGGATGGAGGGTGGGAGGTTTACAACATGTGGTTATCGCCTCAGCGCCGCGCGCATACGTCTTAACAAATTGCAGAAATGTGTCGGCTTGAGGGCGTTTTTTTTTTCAAAATGCACTGTCGCCTTCGCGCCACGCGCAGTCGTCTTACAACTTTGCAAGCGCTCTACGGATTGAGGGCGGGCCGTGTTCAACATGTTTTTCTCGTCTTAACGCCGCGCAGAACTGCCTATAAACATGCAACAAAATTTTTACGGATTGAGAGAGGGTCGTTTTCAAAATGCAGTTCTCGCGTTCCCGCCGCGCCCATTCGTTTTGAACATTTTACACGAACTTCACGGACTGATGGCGGCGGTTCCTTTTTGTCAAAGTGTGGCTGTCGCCATAGCGCCGCGCACACTCGTCTTGAACATGTGCAAAAGTTTCGTGGATTCCCTTGGCCAGCGTGCCGGAACAAATGTTCTGGAAGGGCTCAAGACTGCGAGGGCGCAACAGTTACTTTGATTCGCCGGATCGAACAGGCTGCGCCCGGATACGTAACTACGCGGTGCAAAAATTGGGCCGCATGAGATCACCAGAATTTAATAAACCGGACCGAGCCACTTGAATTCGGCATCGAACCAGATCGGTTGAACCGAAATGGACTATGGGAAAGCCATCCAGGAGCCCCCAAGCGCCCTGGATGGCGCCAAACCACTCAGTAACAAAACAGACGTATACACACAAATACATGTTTATGTGCACATGCATGCACACATGGGTATATGCATATAAAAATGTACGCCTGCATTTACACATGCTTATGTCTACACATTTACATCGACATATGTGCGGGCATCAATATATGTAGGTTTGTATACATGTACGTATAGTTACGTGTGCAAAACGTATACATATATCCATATATATATATATATATGCATATGTATGCATAGCCGCACCCCATATGATCTACCTCAACTTCTCCGCGGCCTTCATGTCCACTCGAAGGCACACGGGGGGGCGGGAGGGCGGGGGAGCGGGAGAGCAGGGGGCCGGCCGGGGATCGGCTGGGGTGGCCTTTTCTCCATCGCGCTGCTCAATTGTACTTGTCGATCATTCTATGGAGTTGAGCGTGGGTCCCTTCTGCAGCTCCCTGCTGCCCTAATATACTCGCTCACCAGTGCTATTATGCATGGCCCTGGGAATTCTGGAATGCTCTGCCGAACCAAAGCGGTGACTCACCGTGCGCGTGCTGCTCTATCACGCACTACTCCTCAGTCAAATGAACTTGCGAGAGCAAGCGATTTCCTGGAGGCGTTGTACTTGCGTGCTGATTGACCCCGTTCTCCATGCGTTCACCGAGGTACCGAAAATCTCCCTACACCCATACGGTGCGCAATTTGGAGCCCCTCGCCCATGCGCCGACGATCCCGACGAGCCTGAGTGACGGCCCAAAAAATGAAATAGCGAAAGCGATGCTGGGTCTCTCCCCCAACCCCTCCTCTGCGCGTGCATTTGGCCCTCGATCGCTTCTTTCATTATGTTGCAAGTCTTCCTTATTGGCTCCAGCATCATTCTCAGCGTTGCTCTCGCAAAGCATGCATGGCGCGCCACCCTTCGCGTTCAGCGCGCCGCGGGGTCGCGCGACGCGCTCTGCGCTCGTCTTCCTCGGCGCGGCCCCGCGCCCAAAATCCGCGCGGCCCCGCGGCGCGCCGCCTTGTCCCGGCAGATCGAAGTGCGGGATCGGCACTCGCTCTCCCAGATCGGGCCACGCGCCGCCCTCTCCACCGCCCTCCCCCCCCCATCCACTCTCGCGTGAGCGCCAGTTTTGTCCTCGTCGTTCCTGCATTTCGCCCTGCCCCCCCCCGCCCTTTTTCTGGCGTGCAAAATATCAGCCTTCTCTCCTCCACCCTGTTTCGCGCCGACCCTGCGGCGCCCCCCCCCCCCGCCCGCGCGCGTCGCGCGCCGATGCCCCGCGGGGCCACCGAGGATTCCACCGCGATCGTCGCTGCAATTCTGGGGCCCGAAGACCCTGAGTGGATAGGGATTGCTGGGAGCTTTCAGGCGCTCTTCGGCCCCCCCCTCAGTCAGCTGCGCCCTGATGCCATCTGCCCCTCACAGCTCAGATCTGCGCTCGCCCGGCCAACCCGCCCATCGCGAGCGCTCGGCAGCGTCGCCCCGAATCCCCCCGCGCAGGACCCCATTGCAACATGCCGCGCCTGCGAGCATGGGCCCGGGCACGCGCGCGCCATCTGCGCGCGCGCGCCCGCGCCGCCCCCCGATCGCCCACCTCGCGCGCGCGTCTGAAGACGCGCCGCGACTCGGCGAAGTACATCCGAGCCCATGCCCCGCACGCAATGCGACTCCATCGCACGGGAAACGAAAAAACACAGCCGTAGTATAATTTACGAGCGCGCCTGATTGGTCTAGATGATATGCTAACGCGGTCGGCGCGGCGCGGCATGCATCTGCGGGCGCCGCGCGCGACAGCTGGCCGCGGGTCTGCCTGCCGGCTAAAGAAATCACGCAAGCGACGCCCGCGGGTCAACGAAGCCCCCGTAGCATTTCACCCGCGAAAGTCAACATATCCGAACCTCTGCTCCAGCGTGTCCACTGAGCGGAGCGCGCGCGGCGCCGAGCGGCCAGGGCGCCCGCCCCGCGCTCGCGCGACTGCAGGCGCTTCCGCAGGTGCACCCAGAAAAGGTCGATGATCTGCGTTCCTCGCTCAGCGCACAACTGCTCACCAGCGGGCACCTCGTGGGCAAAGTGCTCGGAGGCCTTGGGTTTTAACCAACCTGTCTTCCCACGCCGCGCCACCTTCGTCTTCGCTTGGACAACGTTGTCGCGAGCGAACAGCCATCGGAATCTCGAGCTCACGCGCCCGCGCCCCATCTGCGCGCGGCGCGACCTCTTGGTTCTCAAGGCGCCGCCTGGCAAGTGGCTTCCAGTCGCGTTTTCGGCTCGCGCCAGGCCAGGGGGCGCGCCGCCGCGCCCTGCGCGGAACAAGACGAGCGACGATCGAAGTCTTCGGCCTGCCGCGTTCGACTAA